CATCAAGTGCTACAAGATGGGGATCAGTCTGACTGTGTGATTACCACTAGGTTATTGGTTCAGAGTCTCCAGCAAAGGACAAACTCTTCAGTTAACCATGCACCATACCTCAGAAAGAGCAGGCAAAGAAATAATTATCATGCAAAAGTATATAGGAGCAAGTGGTCTAGCCATCCCAGCCCAAATGGGGCCTTATGAGTGAAAGCCAACACTTTAATTTGTTCCTAAAAACACAACCATAATTACGGGCAAGATATGTTCCTTCCTGTGGGTACTGTTTAGCAGCCTCACAGCAGTGTTTTGAACTAGATGAAGATTTTAAGCAGGCCCACGTATAGCATGTTGAAATAACCCAACTAAGAAGTTATTATGCATAATTCTAGCTGGACCAAATTTTTCTCAGAAAGGCTGCAGCTGATGTACTACATGAAGTTGGTAAAAGGGCATGGATAACACTTGGACATCCATCTGTAGAGCCAAACCTTCTCAATCTTGTTTTGACGTCTTCAGTTTACTAGCCCTTGCCCAGCCGTTACCAACTCCAGATACATGTTCAGAATGACATCAAGCTCAAAAGAGTTGATGAGAAGTAGTGGAGCTCAACATTGGCAGCATACTGATGACACTTTTCTCCAAATCTGCAAATGATATCCTCCTGTAGTTTTGTGTGCATGGTAAAATTTTGTGTTCAAAAACCATCACATTCATAATCCTCAGCAATCCTTAAACAGCCCTCAAATGTAAGCCAATATTATTAATCCTATATTTTGGGGTGGGCAGCTGAGAGAATAATAGCTAGCCAACTCACATTATAAGCCATAGTCTGGCCCAGCTGAAGATACCTATTCAGAGTTAAAAGTGTGTATGAAATTTTCTTTCTATAAATACAGCCATATATGTGCCCTCATTTTACTGGACTAGTTTAGACATCCTTCCATCTGTCCCTCCCTTTAACAGCAAATAAGTATTCCACCCGTTTCTAAGTGTTTTTCCTTTGTTCCTTTACAGAATCTCCTTCCCCATCTGTTTAAGATGTAGCTGTCATGTTTGGTTCCTCTCCAGGTGTGCCACTTCATATGAAGTATTTAAAATGCAACTTGCATACCTTCACAGATTTTATGGTCCCTGTGCCATAGGCCAAGCAGTAGTGGTTTTAGGTCATGTGACAGCTATGCCCAAACAGGCAGATGCTTAATGGGGCACAGCTGTATGGAACTTCGGCATATATTGGACCTTCCACTGAATATACCCCAGGATAGTTGCCATCTGACTTGGGTATAACATCTTCTACACTTTTATGATCATCATGGGAATGGTCTGCAAGAGCATTCCCATTAAAAACAGGAATCTGTCTTCATTTTCAACCAGAGGTGGGCTGTAGATAGAATTTTATAGATTCTTACTTTACTGTAGCAAGTTCTCTCTAGCCTCTGGTGATAGGTGGAAGTTAAAATAATATGGCTGAAAGTAACAAATCACACTTTATTTTTTATGTTAACTAATGTATTTTTGTATTGATGTTTGTTGTGCAAGCCTTCTGGCTGTAACAATAAACTACACTGCAGTGATGTGATTCTCTTTTGGTAGAGCAGAAACATTGGGCAAAATTTCAGGTGTGCACAAAGTCCTAATTCAAACAAGAGGATAAAAGGCTCTGTAAAGTTTTCAATAACTGGAATTTGTAGGTAGCCATAGAGAGTGGGGGATACATCAACTTGCAAGCAATGTTCCCTCTAAGCTGTGGAGTCTTGTGAGCAAGAATTCTATTTTGTGAGCTACTGGCATTAAAGTTGCAAGCAAGCAATTTGGCTACTGCATAAATTAGTTTGCTCTGGAGCAGTCCTTCCTGAGCTAAGATAAAAACTGTGAGCCAGCTCACACTAACTCAGCTTAGAGGGAACACTGCTTGCAAGTGAGAGGAAGGAAGCATTACTCAGGCCCCGGTCACATGGCAAAGTTGCCGCGGGAGAGGCACGGAAGGTGGGCGGATTATTCGGGCGCGATCGCACCCCAACATCTGGGAAGTGGAGCGCACCCGTGGCATACCACCGACAATGCGCCTTAAAAAACTAGTACCTCCAAGGTACTAGTAAACGTTTTCCACGGGCTGCCTCCAGACGCCCGTGGTGTGATCGTGCTGGCGCACAGCATTCCCCTCCGGTTACTCGTTTACCCTCTGGTGCCGAGGGAAGGACCCGTGCTGTGCCGCCGGTGCGTCTGATTGCATAATCATGGATCAAACTGTGCCGGGGCAATTAGCCATGTCTCCCCCCCCCCCCCCGACGATATCTGGCCCGTGTGCCCGGGGCCTCAGATCCATAATTTTCCCCCCTACGGTTTTTCTGCTTCTTTTTTCTTGTCCCTGTTCTTTCTTCTCCTCCTCTTTCTGCCATGTGGCAGGGAGGCATTGTGACTAGAGGATACAGCACAGCAACTCTTACTGGCCCAAACTGTGATGAAGAGGACATTGTCCCATAAAAGCTTGTGCTTTAATAAATCTGCTAGTTTTTAAAGTGCCATCAAACTGTTGTTCCTGTGGGATCAGCGATGGAGAAGGGAAGGCTCACAAAATCTTTTCTCTTTTGGATGTAGGGGGATGTCCCAGTTTGATCATGAATTTCTCATTTGACTTGGGATAATACCCATTAAATTATTATTTTCTTTAACAGGAGGGATTTGGCAGAGGTCATAGTGGGGGCATGGTGAAAAGGAGCCCCTCTGACACAAGGCCTTCTGGATCTTTAGTCTTGCTGGAAATCAAGTGAACAATAGGCTAGTTTTAATTAAAATGAATGTAGCTGCTTATACTTCATTAGACATAAGTACAGTTTCAGATCTCTTGGAATGAGGGTAAAAAGCAGCTCCAGGCCAAGGACGTTTTGAAATGCAAGGAGGAGAAACTCTGAGGACACACAATTCTGTGCCCCATGTGTTTAAGAGGCATGCTTAACACCTTTGGGGGGACTGCATAAAAATCTGGTATTGATTGCAAAGTTTTACCATTTATTTCATAATGGCCTCACTGCTGGATAACAGGAACACAGATTGGCCTATCAGGGTGTGGGAGCAAAACATTGGCTCAGCAAACGTGTACAGAGCAGGGGGTGAAAGCAGTCGATCTGTGAGGAGGGACTTTTGTAGCATTTGCTGTTTACCTCAGTCTTGTCTGGTCTCCCTGCATTTAAATTTAGCAAAAAAGAGAGAAGAATATGAAAAGAGATCTGTTGTGAGCCTTATCTTCCAAAATTTAGGGCCCCAGCTGCAGAAGCTTAAATAGAACATCCCTCCTCCCTTTTTATGCTTTGGAGCTATAAAAGTTTTATGTTCCATAAAACTTTGGTTTAAATGCACCTATCAAGCAGTGGAGCTCTTTCCAGCTGCCTGCTTGAGCTTTATCCCAGTGTCTGGGTGAGCTGTAAATTTGTAGGAAGTCAAAGCAGCTCTGTAAACATCATGCCAGCAGCCTCTGTTGCTATTAGTCTTGACACTGGGGCCTTTATACACCAGCAAGGAAGCATAAATAAAACCCTGCCTTCCTAGAGCAATATAAGGCATAAAATAGAAATGTAAATCCTTGGGTTAAATCTTGTCCAGCTTTAGCAGTTTACAGGATAAAACAGTGACAAACCCTTGTGTTGTGATCCCTGGTGCATTAATATATTTTGTGGGTCACAATTATGATACTGAACATCATTATATTCTTGATGGATACCTTAAGACAAAGGAGAATGACTTATTCTGGACTTAGGGAAATAATATTCCAAGGGCTGCTAATTTTTTAATAATTGATGCATATTCATAAATGTGCCATTTACCTTTCCACATCTGGTATTATATACTTATTGTGACTCTGTGAGATATACTTGTTCTAAAATTGCATGCTTCAAATTATGTAGGGCTGTACATGACTAGAACCCTAGCCATCTCCTGTGGAACAAAGTTTCAGTCCAGGGGCACCTTTAAGAACAACAAAGTTTAATTCTAGATATAAGCTACAGATATATAAAGAACTGTGCATGCACAGGACCTTATACCCAGAATTAAACTTTGTTGGTCTTAAAGGTGCCACTGGACTCAATTTTTGTTCTGTTGCTTCAGGCCAACAAGGCTACCCACCTGAATCCATCTTCTATGGATAGAACAAAATGTGCCCAGTAGCCCCAGTAAGGACTGAAAACAGATGAGTGTGTCAAAATTCCTGAGAAAATTCTCATGGTAATCTTCTGGGTGTCTTCTGGTTTCCACTGTTTGGATTTCCAGATGATGTGGCACGAGTAGGATTCATATTACTCTTGTAGTTTGAAGACTGGCATTTAATTTCTTGGTTGCCCAGATTAAAGGAGAATATTGCTTAAAATCTAGGAACTGTGATCTAGAAAAGAGCATAGTGGTTTAGTAAACGATAACAGCTTTTGGCTGAGGGAAACTTCACCATCATTATATTTTCTGTAGTGTATTGGTTCAGGGCTGAGAGCACAGACTGCCAGCCAAAAGCTTATTACGGTTGCAACAGACCATCAAAGGAAATCAAGGGGCATTTATAGCTTTTCTCTTGTTAAAAAATGGTGCACAAATGAAGTTTCATGCTCATCATTTTCCTCTTGTCTCCACTCAGCTGTTTGCAAATGAGAGTGTGCCAGACCATGTTGGCTTTGCACGGGTGAAAATTAACCTCATCAATGAGAATGACAACCGTCCCATTTTCAGCCAAGTTCTGTACAATATCAGCCTGTTTGAAAATGTCACCATGGGAACCACAGTGCTGAAGGTTCTGGTAAGTGGAAGTTCCACATATCTTCACCCCCTTTAAAAATGAGTAGTTCAACATGCTTTATAATGTACATTTCCTCCCCAGAATATATGGTACAATGTTCAGGCAGTCCAGAAAGGAATGTCAGAAAAATCTGTAAACTTCAGTCTGCTGGTGAGCTTGAGGCATCCTCAATGAGATAATGTATATCTGGTTGTTTGTTTCCAAATCTGGATTTACATAATTTTAAGAGAGGCTTTAAGAACAACTGTAAGCCAATTAATTGGGATTCTAATTACAGTGTGTTCAGAATATATTGTCACTGGTTGCATATAAGATCCCATTTTGGATAAGATGCCGGCCATACAGGGAGAGGGGGCATGCAGGTCACTCGTGTGTATTTTTGTCCTTCACTATTTTCCTAGAACATCTGGAATGCCTTTTGCTATTTGAGCTTATTGATGGTTAGTCCAGCATGTGCTGATAGCCAAATGCTCAGCTGTCAAAGTCATGACAGCAACAATGAGACATAACAGTAGTTATAAGTTGACTATAGCAGTAGCGAATGAGCTTGAGATCTATCAGCGGATAGATGTGAATCACTGCATGAGATGAGATGTCATTTTAAGCACAGTAATAGTTGGCAGGTGAAGAAGGATCAAGAACAACTACTGGGAGGAAGGAAAAAGTAGGGGAGTGTGGGACTCTTGCTGGACATGGCAAGACTGGAGCCAGGAAAATCATATGGAAAGCTTCATGCAACTGTGTGCTGGATCTCTGACCCTTGAACCCTTTGTTATAATCTGTGGTGGCCAGACGGGTGCAAGCAGTCTTACCTGAGCAGGAATAATTCATTCAGACAAAGAGTGTTGCAAACCTGTACTATTACACAGTGAAGCTTGGTGAGTAGACTCTCCTCCCTGTGTCTCTACAATACCTCATGGGATCATGACATCTGTTGGCTTTAGCACAAACTGATGAAACTGATACAGAAAAAGAGAAGCAAGAGTCAGTTAAAGTCTGTATTTCTACAGGAGGGAGACAGATTTACCGGAGGATAAATTTAGAACAGGGCAATTATGCCCTGACCCTGGATAGCCCAGACAAGCCCAAACTCCTCAGATCTCAGGAGCAAAGCAGGGCTGACCCTGGCAAGTACTTGAAAGGGTGATCTCCAAGGAATACCGGGGCCGGGACACAGAGGCAAGTTATCAAGCTATCGCTCTGAAATGCCCTAGCCCCACCAGAGGTCACCAGAAGTCACCGTGATTTCCAGGCTCGCAAGCACACAAACACACACATACCAAATACTCACAAAAATGGAAGAGGGGGAGGAGGAGAACAAGAAGAAGACTATGTAGCTTCCACTGTATGAAACAATATGTTGGGCTAGATGGACAACTGATCTGACACAACAGGTTGTATTTATGTTCTTATGTACCAAAAGGATTTATTTTTATTTTTTTTAAATGCCCTTTCCTGCCAGTTTATTTGGCTGTAGAGCCAATGTAGTGTTGTGATTAAGAACTGGGTTTGATTCCCCACTTCTCCTCCACATGAAGCCTGCTAGGTGACTTTGGGCCGGTTACAGTTTTTTCAGAACTCTCAGCCCTACCTAACTCACAAGGTGCCAGTTGTGAGGAGAGGAAGGGAAGTCAATTGTAGGCCGCTTTGAGGCTCCTTCATTATTCATTCTTGCTACTTCTTGCATGGTTTCAGTTTGCACTTTACGTGGCTGATGTGTTTGTAGGTTCTACACTTTCCAACTGAAGACCAAATGCGTTTTGGCCTCACAGGGCCTTCCTCAGTGGTCACTATTACAACATAGTATAGCCACACATTCAAACATATGTATACAAGATCTTTAGTACACTTATATAAAGACCAGATGTTTTATCCTTATATGTTTGTAATTGTGTTACTGGTATTAATGATGGGCCATAGGTATAGCCATATCCATTCCAATTATTCTGGTAAATGAGATTTCATAAATCTGAATGTGTGTCACTCCATCAAGGTAAGGATTCTGTACACATTCAGACTTATGAAATCTCATTTACCAGAATAATTGGAATGGATATGGCTATACCTATGGCCCATCATTAATACCAGTAACACAATTACAAACATATAAGGATAAAACATCTGGTCTTTATATAAGTGTACTAAAGATCTTGTATACATATGTTTGAATGTGTGTCTATACTATGTTGTAATAGTGACCACTGAGGAAGGCCCTGTGAGGTCAAAACGTGTTTGGTCTTCAGTTGGAAAGTGTTGACCCATCATGTGTATTAATATTTGATATGCTTTTATTAGTCTGATACTTGAAAAAATTTTTAACCCAAATATATTTTAATATGTGCACACCCTAATAAATTTTGTACTTTTATAATTTACATGGTCAGCTTAACCCTTCTGGTTCGCAGTGGGTTGAGTTTTCCCCTCCCCCCCCTTTTTTCCAGTGTTTGTAGGTTCTTCACAACCTGTCTTCTAGTAAACACAATTATGATTTTGTGTGTGTAAATATGCAGGAACATATACTGAATGTGTGTTACAGAGCTGTGATTGCCTGCATCTACCTGTCACACATATCCTACTTGTTTTGAACATTTAAAGGGACTTATCAGGCAACATATAGCCACCAAGTGGCAACCAGGTCTGCCTCATAACATGCAAATTATCCTCCAGGTTAGTGTCTTCTCCAGGGACTTGCTCCTAGCCCATGGAGGCCTACCTCCCATCAGCCTGCGTATGTAAGCAGCAGCAGACCAGGAATACAGAACTCAGACAAAATGTTTTGAAGTGTGTGTGTGTGTGTGTGTGTGTGTAAGTGTGTTTATTCTACAAACAGATGGTGTGAAACCGTACAGAGCCCCTGAGCTGTTCCCATCTGACAGTTATTAATATTTCAAACAGATGTTTAGCTAGTCAGGCTGTCAGACACTAAACAATGAGATTGTTACAGCATCTCCCCCCCACACACACTTCCAGCTATGCCAGCATTTTGGAGCAAATGCAAAATGCCAGGAGTTGAATCTTCTATGATAAATCAGAATGTGTGCAATTAGCATTGAAATCCAGATTGCCCTCCCAGCTGATCCCAAATTTTAACAGGCTCAAGAAAAGTGCTTGCTCTTTTTCTTTGCAAGCTTGGGATGCCACACTCTGCACATGTCAAAAGTGCTGCTGATTTAAGGGATTGTTCCCTTAAATGTCACATGCAGATTAAAATTAATACCGGTAGGAGGAGCTCAGTTCTTATTTCTTGGAATGTAACATTTTACTGATTGTCTGACCTAAACCTTGCTTAAATTGCTTGCGCCCTACAGATCTTTCATATGGTGTCAGCAGACACTGATTTCCAATGATTCTCCCCTCCCACTAGAGACGCCTACTTTACCTGTGTACTGTTCTCAAGGGTCTGCTGAACCTTCAGGAGTAAAATTGGTGTGTGGGTGGGTGGCTTATTTAGTTCCTACAGGTGGAGGAAGTGGGAAGGTCCTACTTCCTTAAATCTGCAGTTGGCTGGGTACATGTCACTAAAACTAGTCTGCAGAATTCTGTAGGAATATCCTCCATGGCTCATGCGTCACTGAAAAAGTGGCAATGAGGTGTCATCTCATTGGCCACATATATAAACTATTCTTTAGATAGAACAAAGTTTGAGTTCAGTGACACCTGTAAGACCAACAGAGTTTTATTCAAGGCATGAGCTTTCTTATGCACACACATTTCTTCAGACACAATGAAATGGAACTAGAAATAACAGTCATACATATAGAGGGTGGGCAGTGAATTAGCATGCAAAATAATGCAGATGGTTTTATCAGATTAAAAGAATATTACGCTTAGTATATGGCTATCATCTGTTTGGGTTCAACTAAGGGGGGAAAACATAGTCAAGGTAAAAATATGACAGCAGTAGAGATTGATGTATCCTTAATTGTAGAATGGTGAGAGTCAGCTATTAGGCTCTATTGGTCTCCTCTCAAGCATGGAGACAACCCTGCAACATCTTTTTCTTTGAAGTGGGGCGATTGGCTGTGTTATTTTCCTTTCCCCTGACCCGCAAAATACATTTAAATCTACCTTTCCAAATTATAGTACATACTTAGTAAGCTGAGACTCTGTTGTTACATTCCATTCTTCTCCTCTCAAACATGGAGTTAACTAGCAGAGTCCTTTTCTTAGAGACTGGGTGCAATTTTATGTCAGAGAAATGCATTTCAATAATCATTGTATAATAATACAATCACTATTCCAATATACTATTCCATAATAGAAATACACAAAATTACAAAGGATCTATAGTGCTTCTTGGTGAGAATATATATGTAAGGACTGAATGATTTTAGCATATATAATGAGATAAGAAACTTGATAAGGCCAGTTCTCTTTCACAAGGGTTTACAGGGTTTGCCCACCCAGGCCAGGCCAGGAATGGGAGGGAACCCTGTACTTTTACAGTACATTAAACAACAAACCATTCAACATCACAGTAATCCAAGTCTGTGCCCCAACCACTGATGCAGAAGAGGCTGAAGTGGACCAGTTCTATGAAGACCTACAACACCTCATAGAACTAACACCAAAAAATGATGTCCTCATCATCATAGGGGACTGGAATGCTAAAGTAGGAAGTCAAAAGGTAACCAGAATAACAGACAAGTTTGGCCTTGGAAAGCAAAATGAAGCAGGGCAAAGGTTAACAGAGTTTTGTCAAGAGAACACACTGGTCATAGTGAACACCCTTTTCCAACAACCCAAGAGGCGACTCTACACATGGACATCACCAGATGGGCAACACCGAAATAAGATTGACTATATAATTTACAGTCAAAGATGGAGAAGCTCTATCCAGTCAGTAAAAACAAGACCTGGAGCTGACTGTGGCTCAGATCATGAGCTACTCATTGCAAAATTCAGACTTAAACTGAAGAAAATTGGGAAAACCACTAGGCCATTCAGGTTTGACCTAGATCGCATCCCTGATGAATATACAGTAGAGGTGAAGAATAGAT